CAGATAGAAGGCAATGATCTGCCTGACGTAATCTTCCACGTCTCCCACATCTCCACTGCGATGTCAAGCAGGGGCATCATTTCACATCTCTCTAGTAAGGATCCGTGTAGACACGATCTGGGGTGACTCGACACTTCTCTGCGTCGAGGCACCGATGACGGCTGATCACAGACGGCATTTCTGGTACCGGTCCGATGGTCCTTCAGGGAGACAGGAACCTGGAATACAGGGGTCTGATAATTCAGAGTGATCGCGACAGTGGGTAAGTCAATACTTACAGCATACCCTACTAGGTTCACACCTAGTCCCAACAGGGCTGCTTGTACGTCGCAGATGGCATTCACTCTGCCACCGTCAGGTCGACCAACGTTCCGCATAACGCTGCATTGAGGCTCAGCTATCACGCGAGGGGTGTCAACCTGTCGGAAACAGTCACTCAATTTATCACATGTCGTACCTCCTGTATCATCTATTACCTCCCAGGTCCCTTCTTCAACTGCAACACTTGCAGTACAAATCTCCAATCCCTGGGACCTCTTCTCGATGTTCACGGGAGCCATCATCCTTCGGGTCGTCCACTGATCCTTACTGAGAACACAGAGAGCACATAGGAGAACAAAACAAAATACTGCTAAGAAACATGGGGTCAATTGAGGGATATGCTTCCCGAGCCAGTCATGTCCATAGCCGGCAACATCCACTAGCCTGGCTTGGACCGAAGAGGGCACTAGACCTTTAGAACATACCTCACATACCTCTGACGTCTGGGGAATCTCTGGCTGGTCCACTACACGCTGTAACTTGCCATACCGCAAGCACACCTCAGCCTTCGCTCCAGACTCGTTGGTATCCGTGGGTGTCTGCACACGAGGCCTCTCTTCTAGCTCAGGTACCTCTGCCTTCTTAACCTCATGTTCCTTGTCGAGAGAATCAGGAGACACTGCTAGATAACTGTCGATCTGCGGGTGAGAGGACAAATTAGACATAGTTACATCCGGGTCTGTCTTTACCTGGACATTACCATTGCCTGTTACCTCAGACCGTGCTGTTCTGGTAGACTCGTCCGCAACCTTGGGATGATTGGTGCTCCAATCGGTCACCAAGTCGTTGGCTAGTACCACGTCAATCCCAGCCACAGGGAGGGTATCGACTACTGCCAACTCACATGTGCCGCTGAAATAAGGCGAGTCGAGATGTACTGGCACTAAGGGGGCGATGTACTGCATCCTTGGAAACCCAACCAGGATAACCTCTGGTCTCCCATCCACACTTACTCCCTCGGGTAACGAGCTCTTCACGATCAGGGACTGGGCTGCTCCACTATCTCTGAGCACTACTATTGATCTACCAGTATGATCACTCGTTACATACCCGGTTGAAGTGTGAGGGGCCAACAAACTTGGTCCTTCCTGCGTCGTCGTCGACTGGTTTCCTACTGGTGGTGTAACACAGCTCACCAACATCACCTCCTACGTGCGCTGCCACCTCTTCTGCCTCGGCACCTAGCAGCTATGTGTCCTTTCTGCCCACAAGTCCAGCACACCATGTTCCTCCTTGGACTCCGGTGTTTCGGACTACTAGGACTAGTCCTTCGAGGGCTACTTGGGGGCGTCTTCTTAGCACTTTGTGGGACGGGTCTTTCTTCTTCATCATGAGGTCTGTCGAACCGGCGCTGGTAATTCCTCGGGACGTACTTAGCAGACGGCCTATGAGTCAGGATATACTCTTCAGCCATGGTGGCTGCTGCACTCAAGGTCTCCACCTGCTGCTCTTCTAAGTATGTCTTGAGGTCTCCAGACAAACAATCCTTGAAGTCCTCGAGCAGAATCAGCTGCTCGAGGTCTTCCTTGGTCTCCACCTTCCGAGAGGCGCACCATTCTTGAAAAAGTCGCTCCTTGATGGTGGCGAATTCGGTGAAAGTGTGCTCTGAGGTCTTCTTCAGGTTTCGGAACTTTTGCCTATATGCCTCAGGTACCAATTGGTACGCCATGAGCACCACTTTCTTCACCATATCGTAATCGCCGGAGTCGTCAAGGGATAACGTAGAGTAGGCAATTTGGGCCTTCCCAGTCAAAACTGACTGTATCATGATGGCCCAATTCTCCCTTGGCCACTCCAAAGAGGCCGCGACTTTCTCGAAGGCTGCAAAGAACTTCGAGACTTCCCTCTCATTGAATTTGGGGACCATTTTGATATTTCTTACCGGATCGAAACCGCTTACTCCAGTTTGTCTCTGTCCAGCGCCTAGTCGTAAAACTTCTAGTTCATGTTGTCTTTGTCTTTCTTCTCTCTCTCTTTCTCGTTCTTCTCTCTCTCTGTCTCGTTCTTCTCTCTCTCTTCTCTCTTCTCTTTCTCGTTCTTCTCTCTCTCTTTCTCGTTCTTCTCTCTCTCTGTCTCGTTCTTCTCTCTCTCTTCTCTCTTCTCTTTCTCGTTCTCTCTCTCTCTTTCTCGTTCTAATTCTAAACGCCTCATCGCCAATTCTTTATGTTGTCTTTCTCTTTCCATTTCTAATTTCTTCCACTCTATTTCTCGATTAATTTCCAAGGCACGCATTTTGACAGTTAGCAAGCTTATATTCAGCTCACCTGCATCACTGTCAATGTCACTGCCCTTATCTTCCTTTTCTGTGGAAGCTATTTCCTCACCTTCCCTTGTACTAGGAGTCTCGCCTTCCTGTTTCTCTTCTGCCTTCAGGTGCCGGTGAACCTTGGACAAGATCTCCACACGGGAATCACTGGCACGGATCTTGATCTCCAGGTAGGCGCTCACTAGTACAAGTTCCGGTTTGCTCAGATACTTTAATCTGGCAATACAGTCCACTCTGTTCAGAAAAGCCTGAACATCGTCCAGATCATCGATGGTAGCTTTGTCTGCCATTGTCACAGATGGAACACTTTGCACTTAACACACCGAGCACTGTTCTACGTCAATATGGCCCTTTATCGCACCAAACACTGCACTTGCCAATATTGCACGTAATCACTTCGGGCACCACACTACCCAATATTGCACTGAGTCCAAGCGAACACTTCGCTCTACAATAGTGCACTAAATCACTGAGCACCGCACTAGTTAATATTGCACTTAATCGCTTAATCACAGCGAGCACCGCACTGCACAATATCGCACTTAGTCACTGAGCACCGCACAGGACGTATAACGTCACAATCGTCACACAGGGGGAATTATATACAGGGATTACGCCACTTCACCACCCCTGTCAAACATACTTAACAAGGGGACGGATCCCGCTGGGGATGCCAATTATGTTACGGCCCTCTCGGGACGCAACGGGGTTCTTACTCTGATGTAGTTAGAGGAAGGTATATATATCCGGCCCCAAGCCAGTAGAGGCTATCAAGGGATGCGATCCGTGACGCAAGTAACTTAAAGGGAGTAGGGAAAGAAAGGTAAGAACTTAATATAATATAATTTTCACCATCACCATTTAAATATATAGAAATAAAACGTACACCAGGGGGAGGGGTATTAACACTATACAAAGGGGATCAACACTGTAGTCTTCTGCTGGAGACTATGGATCCTTGAAGCTAGGTGCTGAGTCCGCGGTGCTTTCTTCGTGGCCTCAAGACGTGTCCTCTGAGAATGCCGAGTCTACCCTGGCCACAGGTCAGCCACAACACAGGTCCACTGGGGGCACCGTCGTGGAGGCCGTCAACCACACGTCCAGCAGGTCTGCTGGCAGGTACTGAGCCACCAAGGCTGGTACGGCCACTCCACGAACGATAAAAGGGGTACGCCCTAGACAGGAGTCTCGTGTGATATCACCAATCACCCTCCTGTCCTCAATACCCCAGTGGATTATCGTCTCCAACCGTCGGTCCCGGGTAAATCCTTCCACTGCCACTCCACAGGCAGGCTTAACACACCACAGTGTTCTTCCGGGGGGACGACGTCACGACAGCTGCAGCAAACTTCACTGTATGGAGACTGGCTGCCTCGGGTAGACTGACTCCACCTTCCACACAGTGGTCCCAGGTCGGCTCTGTAAGCAGACACGTCATTAATAACCGGGACACTAATACACCACACTCACAGGCTCAGATACAAACGCCCGACATATCCACTCCATAGATGGCGCTGTCTTCGGAGCACCACCTCACCAGAGGTCAGGAGCGGCGGTGTTGAGCGCTGAACCAGACTGGAAACTGGTCCTCGAGGCCAGTACACGCTGTCCTCACTAGGTGTCGTCGTTCGTTTGGCGGGGGTTTCGGGAGCTGACCCACAGATGGCGTGTTTGTCACTGCTCCAGGCACGGACGCTGGATCCGGGTTCGTAACAAGGGTAGTGAAGGGGGAGGAGGGGTGAGGATCGTGGAGGGGCAGGAGGGGTGAGGGTCGTGGGGGGGAGGAGGGGTGAGGGTCGTGGAGGGGCAGGAGGGGTGAGGGTCGTGGAGGGGGAGGAGGGTGAGGGTCGTGGGGGGGAGGAGGGTGAGGGTCGTGGAGGGGCAGGAGGGTGAGGGTCGTGGAGGGGGAGGAGGGGTGAGGGTCGTGGAGGGGGAGGGGGTGAGGGTCGTGGAGGGGCAGGAGGGTGAGGGTCGTGGAGGGGGAGGAGGGGTGAGGGTCGTGGAGGGGGAGGAGGGTGAGGGTCGTGGAGGAGGGTGAGGGTCGTGGGGGGGAGGAGGGGTGAGGGTCGTGGAGGGCAGGAGGGTGAGGGTCGTGGGGGGAGGAGGGTGCGGGTCGTGGAGGGGGAGGAGGGTGAGGGTCGTGGAGGAGAGGTGAGGGTCGTGGAGGGGGAGGAGGGTGAGGGTCGTGGAGGGGGAGGAGGGGTGAGGGTCGTGGAGGGGGAGGAGGGGTGAGGGTCGTGGAGGGGGAGGAGGGTGAGGGTCGTGGAGGGGCAGGAGGGGTGAGGGTCGTGGGGGGGGAGGAGGGAGTGTTCACAACAAAGAGGCCCCTCGAGGCGGGGGACGGCCGGAGATGATGGAGGTAGTCCCATAAAGGTCGACAAGCCGGTTATGCGAGGCCGGTTAAGCGAGGCTCTGATAAACCGGATCCTTAAATATAACCGGTGCTTCTCGCTCCTCGGACGCCCACACACGATATTACACGTTAACTAGTTTATGTTACCTTGTGTTCAGGTGGTGTGGGGGCGTGTGGGGGCATGTGTGGGCGTGTGGGGGCGTGTGTGGGCGTGTGGGGGCGTGTGGGGGCGTGTGGAGGCGTGTGGGGGCGTGTGGGGGCGTGTGGGGGCGTGTGTGGGCGTGTGGGGGCGTGTGTGGGCGTGTGTGGGGCGTGTGGAGGCGTGTGGAGGCGTGTGGGGGCGTGTGGGGGCGTGTGGGGGCGTGTGGGGGCATGTGTGGGCGTGTGTGAGCGTGTGGGGGCGTGTGGAGGTGTGTGGAGGCGTGTGGAGGCGTGTGGGGGCGTGTGGGGGCGTGTGGAGGCGTGTGGGGGGGTGTGGGGGCGTGTGGGGGCGTGTACTCACTTAATTGTACTCACCTAATTGTGCTTGCGGGGGTTGAGCTTTGGCTCTTTGGTCCCGCCTCTCAACCGTCAATCAACTGATGTATAGATTCCTGAGCCTACTGAGCTCTATCATATCTACATTTGAAACTGTGTATGGAGTCAGCCTCCACCACATCACTGTCTAGTGCATTCCATTTACTAACTACTCTGACGCTGAAAAAGTTCTTTCTAACGTCTCTGTGGCTCATTTGGGTACTCAGCTTCCACCTGTGTCCCTTTGTTCGCGTCCCACCAGTGTTGAATAGTTCATCCTTGTTTATGGAGGCGTGTGGGGGCGTGTGGAGGCGTGTGGAGGCATGTGGGGGCGTGTGGAGGCGTGTGGAGGCATGTGGAGGCGTGTGGGGGCGTGTGGGGGCGTGTGGGGGCGTGTTGGGGCATGTGGGGGCGTGTGGAGGCGTGCGTGGGCGTGTGGAGGCGTGTGGGGGCGTGTGGGAACGTATGGGGCGTGTGGGGGCGTTTGGAGGCGTGTGGGGGCGTGTGGAGGCGTGTGGAGGCGTGTGGGGGCGTGTGGAGGCGTGTGGAGGCGTGTGGGGGCGTGTGGGGGCGTGTGGAGGCTTGTGGGAACGTGTGGAGGCGTGTTGGGGCTTGTGGAGGCGTGTGGAGACGTATGGAAGCGTGTGAAGGCGTGTAGGGGCGTGTGGAGGCGTGTGGGCGCGTGTGGAGGCGTGTGGGGGCGTGTGGAGCCGTGTGGGGGCGTGTGGAGCCGTGTGGGGGCGTGTGGAGGCGTGTGGGGGCGTGTAGATGCGTGTGGAGGCGTGTGGGGGCGTGTGGAGGTGTGTGGAGGTGTGTGGAGGCGTGTGGGGGCGTGTGGAGGCGTGTGGGGGGTGTGGATGCGTGTGGAGGCGTGTGGGGGGCGTGTGGAGGCGTGTGGAGGCGTGTGGAGGCATGTGGGGGCGTGTGGAGGCGTGTGGAGGCCTGTGGGGGCGTGTGGAGGCGTGTGGAGGCGTGTGGGGACGTGTAGAGGCGTGTGGAATCGTGTGGAGGCGTGTGGGGGCGTGTGGGGGCGTGTGGAGGCGTGTGGGGACGTGTAGAGGCGTGTGGGGGCGTGTGGAGGCGTGTGGGGGCGTGTTGGGGCGTGGGAGGCGTGTTGGGGCGTGTGGAAGCGTGTATGGGTGGTGTGGAAGCGTGTGGAGGCGTGTGGAGGCGTGTGAGGGCGTGTGGGGGCGTGTGGGGGCGTGTTAGGGCGTGTGGGGGCGTGTGGGGGCGTGTGGGGGCGTGTTAGGGCGTGTGGAAGCGTGTAGGGGCGTGTGGGGGCGTGTGGGGGCGTGTGGGGGCGTGTGGAGGCGTTTGGAGGCATGTGGGGGCGTGTGGAGGCGTGTGGGGGCGTGTGGAGGCGTGTGGGGGCGTGATGAGGCCTGTGGGGGCATGTGGGGGCGTTTTGGGGAGTGTGGGTGCGTGTGGAGGCCTGTGGGGGTGTGTGAAGGCCAGTGAGGGCGTGTGGAGGCCTGTGGGGGCGTGTGGAGGGCGTGTGGGGGGCGTGTGGGGGGCGTGTGCAGGCCTGTGGGGGCGTGTGGAAGCCTGTGGGGGCGTGTGGATGCCTGTAGGGGCGTGTGGGGGCGTGTGGGGGCCTGTAGATGCGTGTGGAGGCGTGTGGGGGCGTGTGGAGGTGTGTGGAGGTGTGTGGAAGCGTGTGGGGGCGTGTGAAGGCGTGAGGGGGGTGTGGATGCCTGTGGAGGCGTGTGGAGGCATGTGGGGGCGTGTGGAGGCGTGTGGAGGCATGTTAGGCCGTGTGGAGGCGTGTGGAGGCCTGTGGGAGCGTGTGGAGGCGTGTGGAGGCGTGTGGAGGCATGTGGGGGCGTGTGGAAACGTGTGGAGGCCTGTGGGGCGTGTGGAGGCGTGTGGAGGCGTGTGGGGACGTGTGGAGGCGTGTGGAATCGTGTGGAGGCGTGTGGGGGCGTGTGGGGGCGTGTGGAGGCGTGTGGGGGCGTGTAGAGGCGTGTGGGGGCGTGTGGAGGCGTGTGGGGGCGTGTTGGGGCGTGGGGGGCGTGTTGGGGCGTGTGGAAGCGTGTATGGGCGTGTGGGGGCGTGTGGAGGCGTGTGGAGGCGTGTGAGGGCGTGTGGGGGCGTGTGGGTGCGTGTTAGGGCGTGTGGAGGCGTGTGGGGGCGTGTGGGGGCGTGTGGAGGCGTTTGGAGGCGTGTGGAGGCGTGTGGGGGCGTGTGGAGGCGTGTGGGGGCGTGTGGGGGCGTGTGGAGGCGTGTGGGGGCGTGTGGGGGCGTGTGGGGGCGTGTGGGGGCGTGTGGGGGCGTGTTTAGGCGTGTGGGGGCGTGTGGGGGCGAGTGGGGGCGTGTGGGGGCGGCGTGTGGAGGCGTGTGAAGGCCTATGGGGGCCTGTGGGAGCGTGTGGGGGCGTGTGAAGGCCTGTGGGGGCGTGATGTGGCCTGTGGGGGCGTGTGGGGGCGTTTTGGGGAGTGTGGGGCGTGTGGAGGCGTGTGGTGGCGTGTGGAGGCCTGTGGGGGTGTGTGAAGGCCAGTGGGGGCGTGTGGGGGCGTTGTGGAGGCGTGTGGGGGCGTGTGGGGGGCGTTTTGGGGGGCGTGTGGGGGCGTGTGGGGGGCGTGTGGGGGGCGTGTGGGGGCGTGTGGGGGCGTGTGGAGGCCTGTGGGGGCGTGTGGATGCCTGTGGGGGCGTGTGGAGGCGTGTGGGGGCGTGTGGAGGCGTGTGGGGGCGTGTGGGGGCGTGTGGGGGCAACACACAGACTACGGTGCAGGGAGATGACGTCACCAGCACAGATTACGGTGCTGGGAGATGACGTCAGTAGAGGAAAGTGCGACTATGTCCGTGCGTTTTGCTTTTGTCAACGCAAGGGCATAGTCGCAAGTGAGTTTAAATATTTTGAACGGTGCACGGCGTGTTTAGGCGTATGGGGGCGTGTGGGGGCGAGTGGGGGCGTGAGAGGGCGGCGTGTGGGGGGGGGCGAGTGTAGGCGTGTGGGGGCGGCGTGTGGGGGCGTGTGGAGGCGTGTGGGGGCGTGTGGGAGCGTGTGGAGGCGAGTGTAGGCGTGTGGGGGGCGTGTGGGGGCGTGTGAAGGCCTGACATCAGGGGTGTTTTCAATTCTTTTCCAACGCACGGTCTTTTTCAACTTTTTATCGTACCTTTTCGATAGACATGATATGAAACCCTCTTAGTTGTGGGTTAGGATATGAAAAATTAGGTTAAGGTAATTGTTTAGATATAGTGAATCATATCCCTTTCTGAAAAAAATATAATTTAAAATATAAGTTCAGTAGAACTTCTGGTTGCAATTCTGGTGACCATGTCATAGCTCAGTCGATTAAGGCAGCGTCTGGGATGCTCTCGGATGTAGGTTCGAATCTTCATCACGGCCCTTGTGGATTTGTTCATTTAATGTAAAATGGAGTTCAGATCTAGGTATATAAGGTTAGTTTATGGATGGTTGAGTTAATGTATGTGTTATCATCATTTCTGCGAATAATGTATTTATGCAAGTTGTGTTTTAATTCCTGAAGTGGGACTGATGCAACTGTATTTTTTTTGCACAAATTGTGTATTTGTGTAAGTTCTGTATATGTTATCTGAAACAATTGATTTTCACGAGCGAGTGTGAAAGTGTATTTGGTTTGTGTGTCAATGTGTGGGTATTTTGTGAAAATTATGTGTATGTAATTGTATAATTTTAGTGAAAGTGCATTTTTGATGACATGAGTGTATAAGTAATTTGCTATATTTGTATATTTGTGCAAATACCATACTTTATGTAAATGTTATACTCTGAGGGTATCTGAAACATTTGTGAAAATGGTATATTTTTGTGTGCAACTGGCATAATTTGCCTATAAATGGCATAATTTGCCTATAAATGGCATATTTTTGCCTATAAATGGCATATTTTTGCCTATAAATGGCATATTTTTGCCTATAAATGGCATATTTTTGTGTGTAAATGATATATTTTGTGTGTAAATGATATATTTTGTGTGTAAATGATATATTTTGTGTGTAAATGACAAATTTTTCTTTGTAAATGACATTTCTTCGAGTAAATGATATATTTTGTGTGTAAATGATATATTTTGCATATAAATTTTATATTTTACGTGTAAATATATATTTGTGCATAAATTATATATTACGTGTAAATGTTGTATTATCTACATAAATGGCATATTTGTGTGGAAATGTTATCCTTTGTGCATTTGTATTTTTAAATGATAAATGTGACTATAACTCTTAATATATAACTAAAGAAGGACAAGTAAAACTAGAATAGGCTAGGATTGGACAGGATAGGTGTGGTTAGAAGTGGATAGATGGAATTTGGTCTGGGTTAGATTAGGATAAGATAGGTTAGGATAGGATAGGATAAGATAGGGTATGACTAGGATAGGTTAGTTAATTTGGGGTAGGTTTAGATAGCTTAGCTTGGGTGCTGTACAGGATTAGGATAGGTTAGTTTAGGGATAGTTTAGACTAGAATAGGTTAGGATAGTTTTTTGGCTATGATAGTTAAGGGTCTGATAGGGTATGGGAAGGTTTTGGTTAGATTAGATTGGGGCAGGACAGGATTTGGATAGGATAGTGTAGGGATAGTTTAAACTAGGACAGGTTAGGTTATGATAGATTATGTAAGTTTTTGGCTAGAATAGGCAAGGATCTGATGGGGTATGGGAAGGTTTCTGAATAGATTGGATTGGGGCAGGGCAGGATTAGGATAGGATAGTGTACGGTTAGTTTAGACTAGAATAGGTTTAGGTTAGGTTGGGGATAGTTGGTCTAGCTAATTTCTGAATAATAATAATAATAATAATAATAATAATAATAATAATAATAATAATAATAATATAATAATATTATTATTATTATTATTATTATTATTATGATAATTTTTAAGCATTAAATATATTACATAAATAATTAAGATGCCAAGGCATCATTGCTTGTGACGTCACCCACCGCTGAAATGTCTGGGTGCTGTGACATCGTCACACATCTGGGGTAATGTGAGGCAAAAATACTCCCTTACTGGAACCACTTGTGACGTCATGGGCAGCTAAAGCAACCTACCCCATTGGTGGAGCAGACCCCATTGGTGGAGCAGACCCCATTGGTGGAGCACACCCCATTGGTGGAGCAGACCCCATTGGTGGAGCAGACCTCATTGGTGGAGCAGACCCCATTGGTGGAGCAGACCCCATTGGTGGAGCAGACCCCATTGGTGGAGCAGACCCCATTGGTGGAGCAGACCTCATTGGTGGAGCAGACCCCATTGGTGGAGCAGACCCCATTGGTGGAGCAGACCCCATTGGTGGAGCAGACCCCATTGGTGGAGCAGACCCCATTGGTGGAGCAGACCCCATTGGTGGAGCAGACCCCATTGGTGGAGCAGACCCCATTGGTGGAGCAGACCTCATTGGTGGAGCAGACCCCATTGGTGGAGCAGACCCCATTGGTGGAGCAGACCCCATTGGTGGAGCAGACCTCATTGGTGGAGCAGACCCCATTGGCGGAGCAGACCCCATTGGTGGAGCAGATCCCATTGGTGGAGCAGACCCCATTGGTGGAGCAGACCCCATTGGTGGAGCAGACCCATTGGTGGAGCAGACCCCATTGGTGGAGCAGACCCCATTGGTGGAGCAGACCCCGTTGGTGGAGCAGACCCCATTGGTGGAGCAGACCCCATTGGTGGAGCAGACCCCATTGGTGGAGCAGACCTCATTGGTGGAGCAGACCCCATTGGTGGAGCAGACCCCATTGGTGGAGCAGACCCCATTGGTGGAGCAGACCTCATTGGTGGAGCAGACCCCATTGGTGGAGCAGATCCCATTGGCGGAGCAGACCCCATTGGTGGAGCAGACCCCATTGGTGGAGCAGACCCCATTGGTGGAGCAGACCCCATTGGCGGAGCAGACCCCATTGGTGGAGCAGACCCCATTGGTGGAGCAGACCCCATTGGTGGAGCAGACCCCATTGGTGGAGCAGACCCCATTGGTGGAGCAGACATCATTGGTGGAGCAGACCCCATTGGCGGAGCAGACCCCATTGGTGGAGCAGACCCCATTGGTGGAGCAGACCCCATTGGTGGAGCAGACCCCATTGGCGGAGCAGACCCCATTGGTGGAGCAGACCCCATTGGTGGAGCAGACCCCATTGGTGGAGCAGACCCCATTGGCGGAGCAGACCCCATTGGTGGAGCAGACCCCATTGGTGGAGGAGACCCCATTGGCGGAGCAGACCCCATTGGCGGAGCAGACCCCATTGGTGGAGCAGACCCCATTGTGGATGATGACGTTTTTATTCAGGTTATGAGAACATAAGAATAAAAGTAACTGCAGAAGGCCTATTTTACCCATACGAGGCAGTTACTATTTATATCTACCCAAATCTCATTCATATATATGTGCACTAAATGAGTATTTTGATTGGGTATAAATGGGTATATGCTACGGTGAGGAGTGTGTGTGGGGGGGGGGGGGTATGTTCTTGAGCGATAATGAGGCGTACACGGGAGTGGCAGTGGGGGGGGGGGGTATGTTCTTGAGCGATAATGAGGCGTACACGGGAGTGGCAGTGGGGGGGGGGATGTTCTTGAGCGATAATGAGGCGTACACGGGATTGGCAGTGGGGGGGGGGGATGTTCTTGAGCGATAATGAGGCGTACACGGGAGTGGCAGTGGGGGGGGGGGGTGATGTTCTTGAACGATAATGAGGCGTACACGGGAGTGGCGGTGGGGGGGGGGGGATGTTCTTGAGCGATAATGAGGCGTACACGGGATTGGCAGTGGGGGGGGGGGATGTTCTTGAGCGATAATGAGGCGTACACGAGAGTGGCAGTGGGGGGGGGGTATGTTCTTGAGCGATAATGAGGCGTACACGGGATTGGCAGTGGGGGGGGGGATGTTCTTGAGCGATAATGAGGCGTACACGGGATTGGCAGTAGGGGGGGGGGATGTTCTTGAGCGATAATGAGGCGTACACGGGATTGGCAGTGTGGGGGGGGGGGTATGTTCTTGAGCGATAATGAGGCGTACACGGGATTGGCAGTGTGGGGGGGGGGTATGTTCT